ATTCTGTAGAATAAATATATTTTCCAATTACTATCCTGTTCTGCTCATGACTGTCTTTTCTGTTACGTACTTTGTTTCCGCAGAGCAATCGCATCCGAGACCAAATTGTGCCTTCAGGGTAACCATACGGCTGCACATGCCAAACTGCGTGAATGGATTCGGGCTGCGGAATCTAGTTTGGGTATTGCAGTTCCAACTCCGTCTGCATCGGCTAGCGCACAAAACCCGTACAACGGTCAACCACATGCAACATCTCGACAGTTGACTGCGTATTCATCTGTCAGTGATGTCAATTCATTGCAGATTAGCACGAACCCCCGGGCTATGATTGCTCAAGGATTGTCTTTTCCCGATTGTCAGAAACTGGTCAGTGTTTTTGGCGACGAAACATTCGTACAAATGCTACATGACGAGCATCAGGTATGAGGCAATTATTGATTAACTATGCGGAGTGCCGCTTTTACTTCGAAATTATAGAATAATGTGGTGTTGGGTACTGGACTGAATTTTGGAATGTGGGTCAACGACCAAAGGAGATAATAGTTTCCGTACATGTTTTGCTACGTATAAGAAAGATGGTCAATGTGCTCATATTTTTATGTATTTCTGTGTTTTTTCCTATCGTAAATAGTAGAACAGCCTGCGTTAAAAACTGCTCCACAGGGCTCATATTAGAAATGCTATTTGCAACTCAGAGAATCAACTCGAGATAAATAAGCCTCGAATGATTTTGTGTTAGGTTTCCTGGATTAGATGTGTGTAGCCTCAGCAAGCTCGACGCCAGGGCCGATTTTTGGCGTTTATATAAGATGTAATAATTGATTGATCGGACAAAATTTCCTTAATTTCTCAAATTAACTCCTTGAGCTACGAGTGAGCTTTGCGCTACCTACATCATATCGGGAGTACAAGCATGAGTATAGCTTGACAGAAAATGACCGAAGTCGCATTCGTACCGAGCGGCAAGAACCACGAAACCGCTTGTGTTCTGCAAAAGTTTTGTCTAGTTATTCACATACTACTCATTACATATGTGTGCATAAATAGTGTGCTTTTATGTTGCTGGCTGTTTTCTATTATTTGAGTCTATTCTTTACCTATCGAACATTCCTCGTTAGGATAACAACGCCTTCGGTTCCTTTTTCGAAATTTCCATCTAAACGATTGAAAACTCAAAGGAATTGCTGAACGTCAGATGTGTCCTATGTGCACTGCTTTCCTGTTGGCAATCATTTGGTTAGAACCACTGGTTTATATCAGATGATGATCCTCGGGTTTCCTTCGAAAATGCATGGTTAATCGAACGAGGCTAAATGATACAACATCGTATAACGAGCTCTCCCAGGAATCGGTGGGCTACACCTAGCGAGCCTTACATTCATCGCACTGATTCACCTTACCTCCAATGTCTCCCACACATCAAGTCCAAAGTTAAATCCTATTCGATGTCAGAGGCAGCAATCCGTAAACCCAACTGCGATTTGATCTGAGTCGCCATGGCAACAGCAACAACAGGCAATACTCTCGTTACTCACCAAGCGGTTCCTTGCAATTTGAAAGCAATTGCTGTCGGTCCAAGATTCCGGTATTAGAGGAACTCTTTGAGCTGAAGCCCATTGTTTCCTTATGACCCATCGTAACGCGGCGTCAACCAAGTGGATTAGACTTTCTCCGAGTGCTAGCAAAATGTCCACTAATCAGGGCCTTGCATGCATAGTCTTAGTAGATGTTACCTACATCACCAGCATAGCGTGGTTATTGAGACGTCCTCAAGCCGTTGGGCATAGAACAATTTTCAGTGGAATCTAGGTTGTTGTAAGATACTGCTGAGAGTTCGTAGATCAAAGAGTCGATCACTGTTCAGTTTTTTCGACGATGTTGACGGATCAAAGCTATACCATACTCTGTGAATGTGCCTTGATGATGATTCTCAACAAGCGGGATAACAAGTTTTTACAATGCTTTCAAGGCTTTCCAGTGGTGTGTGGCACATTGATTTTACTTCACGAATACAGTTTCGTAAGCAAACCAACTCTGCTAAACTGTTTCACGTTACCGACACAGTCATCATTGTGCAACTGGATGTTTGGCAGATTTGAAGTTCTTATGGCGATTCCGAAAAGTTCAGGAGCCTCGGTGGGATTCGAACCCACGAATGTGAAAAGATCAGTACTGTCAATGTGGTCTCGTAGCTCAGCTGGTAGAGCGTGCGCGTACAAAGCGTGGGCGGCCTCCATGCATGGGTTCCAATCTCACCGAGGCTACTAAGCTTTTCACAATCGTGATACAAACTTCAAATCTGCCAAACATCAATTGAGTTTCGTCGATTTTAGTGTGAATCTGTCAGAACTTAAAGGTTTTAACTCAGTACATCCAAACATGAAGATCATTTGAGAGGACAAAGGGAATGAGCAGATTGCGCTTCTGAACATTCTACCTAATCATCGATCAGATGGAACTATCCAGCGCACCATCCACAGAAAGCCATTGTAGAATAATCCATACATCCGTAACAAAATCTGTGCTACTAGAAAGGAAAAAAATCTTATTCTGAACTCTGATTTTCACAGGTGACAACAAACAGAAAACATAAGATGGTACTGGGCGCTAAACACTCTCAAGCCCAGCACTTTACCGCTTCTCCCATTGACTGCATTTTTTAAGACACAAAATCCATTCTGATGAAATATGATCAATATGTAGAACAATTACAGGTTGGATAGTGAATGAGTGTAATGAGCCATAAACAAAAGAGCAAGATGATAGGCACAGTGAATATCAAATATATCAATTCATTAAAAAAATTTACCTATCCGCAAATTTTCTCTTAGAGACTGATGGGAAATGTGAAAGCACAGGTTCATTAACGCGCATGTAAAATTCCCATTCATTACATTTACAGTCTACAAATGGCGTTAAATTCTCTCTCTTTTCAATGGTTAACCTTGGAGATGCTGTATAGCTGCTTCGCTCAGTTGCCTAGTTATCGTCCGTTGGGTTTTGAACCCGTGTACTTAAGGCCATCAGTCCGACACGCCATTTACGTTACTTTTCATTCTCATTTTCGTTTGTTCCCGTTATTTGTATTGAAATTTCCTTTCCGTATATAGCTTCTGATCAGCGAACTTCAGAAACGCAAGGATCTATGGAATGAAGCAAACAACTCGACACNNNNGACACACCTCTCCGCTAATTTGCAGATCGAACGCTCTTCTCTAATGTCCCGTATGAATCGTCTGGAAGTTGCCTGTGACCTACGTTCTAGCGCATTTGAGGTAAGATTTGCCTTCAACATGCTTCACGCTTCCGGTAATACCGTGTCTATCCGTAACGGAGTGGTCGAAAGTTTTAGTTCCTACGATCTCCTATCAACCTAAAGGTGTTTTCAATCATTTCAATCGCGTCTTATTTCCGTCTGGAACAGGAGGATAGGCAAGCAGTTAATAGCATTTCCGGTTAACCTGTTTCTGTTGTTAGCAACCTTACTTCTGAGAATTACTTTTACTGGCCATTCGACCAACAGAAGCAACAACATACATAAGTGGATGCTATCACAGATAGGTTTTATCTGGTGTGGGTTAATACGATATCCTTTGCTGCTAATGGAGACTTTGATAGGACGAGAGCCGTCGAAAGCCAAGCTGGCGCACGAGGTCGACCAATACCTGTATAATCTTGTTGTCCATCATACATTTTCGATTGCAAAAGAGTCGTTTTCATGTGGTGAAAAAACGCAACATGTGTTGAAAGATGCTTTGTGTTACATTGTGTACAGACAGAAACGAAAAACGGTCTATTCTACTGTCCCCCTGTGGTCATCTAGGCAGTATACTACTTTGGTACCTGTGAGGTCCGGGGTTCGATTTTCATTTGTGTCGATGAATTCACAGCTAGAGAAATTCAGAAAGGTCGAAGGAGCTGTATAGAGTGGGCTTCCGGGCTGTGCTGTTCCCGCTTCACTTTCTCGGTGCACAGCGAAGTTCATAGTGTGATGGAAGCGGGAGACTTCCATTAGTGTCACATAAATAACGAACCTCTAACGAGTGTAATCCATAGACAAATACCCATGAAGGTCATACAGAGTATGAAGTACCTGTGCGCATTCGAATGGTTCCATCCAAGCACCAAATTGTTGGTTATTTATTTATACTAGATTTCGGTCACGCTTTCTTTTTGTCCAGATAGTCAAATATCATTTTGTATTGCCCAAACTCCCTCTACCTATCATACTGGTCTTTTGCTTCCGAAATTCAGGCTGCTTTGACCATGGCCACCCGTTTGCAAGAAAGTCAGACTCACATGATTGCCTGGTTAGCTGAGGCAGAACGACACCTGCAGGCCATTGAACTAGATGATCGGTCCCCTGGTCATCAGCTTCAGTCTTCGATTCTAAGTTCAACTCTAGTTCGCACGTCACCCGATCGTTTTCCTCGACTTCGGGGTAAAAAGAACGATGGAAAGAATTGGCAACACGCTACCAAGTGTTCCTCAGAAGAATCAAGTCAGCCTGTGCATACCCAATCCACACTCTTGCGTCTATACGAATATCTGCGCTGCAATCAGTCGCTCATGGTTCGCGGCAGCTACGCCTCCTTCTGCCGTTTGTCTGAGAGTTTGCTCCAACCGGTGAACAGATCCACCTCCGGTTGGAATGGTTCTTCCAAAATGGTGATTGGATCTTGTCACGCGAAAGCTAAACCGGTGCTACGTCAGAGGCATCATCATATTCTGGCCCGGTGGCATCAGGTTAGTTTGCTCATTTTTTTTGTTTGGGCTATGGGTTTTGAATTTCCCGAAATATTGATTGATAACTAAAGGCTTTTATTTCTGTGACTTGTTCAAATATCATGAAATTACTGTTAATATTTGCGTGGTCTTTCAAGAAACCGATCTCAATGACTGCAGGTGGAAACTCTTCAGTCCATGCTCTGCACTCATGAGGGTGCCAGTGAATCTCCATCGAAAGGACCGTCTGAACTGGCTGATGGTTGTTTTATTAAACTTGTTAAGATCTGGTCTACAAGAAACTCAATGACCCCACACATTTATCACACTGTGGCCCAGTACATCGCCTGTCTCAGTCTTCTGCGAGCTCAGAATTTCGGCACCTGACCGCCAGAAAAGATCGAGTCTGGGTTCCTACGAGCACAAAAAGACCAAAAACGGAGCCGCTTGCCAAACTTGATGGATGACTTAAATTCATCTCTACTTCCGTTTACTTTGAATGTTGTTCATGATTGTTTATTCCTGTGCATCATTTTTCTCCATTTAGACAGCATATCTGCTAAAGTATAAGTGAAACTCTCGCAGAATTCTTCCATGTTCATACAAATACAAACGCTTTTAGACCTTTGATTCTATATTGGATTACCTATTCTACGACTAGGTATTTGCACTATAGTGTCTGTCAACCCTTGGTAAACGTAACGAACAGTTCGATTCGTTCGGAAACATCTAGTAAAATATCGTAAAGGTTTTCATCGTTGTCAAACCCACACACATTGTTTAACTTTCGTCATGTATACACCTTGTTGTGTGTCTATGTGATGCAGGTTGATCAACGTTTAGGACTACTACGGGCTCAATTGTGTTTTTCTCGTGGCCGGTCCAAAGAGCTGGAACTGTCCATGGAACTGGAGCAAATAGAGCTGCGAATTAGACAGTGGGCTCGCCAATTACGCCAACTGAAAGTGGAGGATATGATTTTGTTTCAAGAGTTGGACGAAGCCGTTTTCGAAGCAACAAAAATATTCCCCATCACTGCTCCATCGATCAATTCCAGTCGGTCCAGTATTAAAATAACCGTATCTGGTATCTCAGATGAGACACAATCAGAGTGTGGCTCGTCCGTGGTGTCTACGGCCACTGGCCGCGCAGATTTCTGTGAAGTGGATGTGCTAGTGAATCGGATTTGTGAAGTGGTCAGCCGACAACAGAATTGGCCTACAGATGAACTACTGGAAAAGATGGAGAAACGATTCATGCAAGCACTGGTAAGTCATCTTGAACAACCTCTTCATGTTTTGCTATCCTTTGTTCGGCAGATTTACCGGGGTTTATTAACGGTTATTATTGGTTTCTTTGGTACCCAGTTTTCGATGCACATCTTGAGATGTTGAAGAAAACGACTGTGAATTGTTGGAAAAATGGTTGTATTCATATTTCACTCCAGTCTAAGGTCAGGCTGTGTACCAAGCAAATCAGAGTACATTAATCTTTATAAAAAGAAAAACGTTCCCTGATTTGCTTGTGGGCGGAATCCTGCCAGGTTGCCCAGACCAAGGCAGGTGAATTTTCTCGGTTGTCCATGACTGGGGCCTTCGGCTAGCCAAAGCCTGACCCGCAAGACAGCGAGGCGGTGTAGGAAAACTGCAATCCATTGGGGGTAGGTGTCCAGTTCACCGGATTATACGCCCTTTAGACGGGGTCAAACGTCCAAGGTGCCCAATGCACCTCGATGCCTAATCGAACCGGTGACCACTGCCATAACCGGGAAGGGGTGTGTGGTTCGCACGCCTCTCCCTTGGTTGGTTTGGAATCAGGGATTTTAGCCAACTTCCCTAGATGAACTGTGAATGGTTCATCAATCTGGTTATAGTCCCGGATTTTGACTTTTTATCCTATCACTTTGATGGAGAAACACCTCCGTTACGAGAAGGCAGTAAGGCGGTAGGGCTTCCTCAGCAGTGGCTTTTTGAGACGCTTGGTCGTGTGAGAGCATTTCGCGGGATGCAAGGGAAGGGTGACCAGCCACAAACCAAGACACGCTGAACTCATTCTT